TCGTTTCTGTTCTCTACTTAGTACAATTTTGATGAACGTGGCGCACATGGAAGATTAATATCCCATTATGTAGTAAGATAACAGCATAACCTGTATTTTTTGGAAGAGGGAATATCAAGTACAGCCCTTCGATGAACTTGTCCTTATTTTGTGAAAAAGTTTGTAATGTCGGAGCCGAAGTTGTTTGTTGTTTGAACGATTTTACATGTTCACAACTACAACGATGTTCACACAACAGCTGAGGTCATGATGACAAGGTCCACAAAACAGATAAGATCATATCACGTCGCCGTCCACAAAACAGATAAGATCATATCACGTCGCCGTCCTCAAAACAGATAAGATCAAATCACGACGCCGTCCACAAAACAGATAAGATCATATCACGTCGCCGTCCACAAAACAGATAAGGTTATATCACGTCGCCGTCCACGAAATAGATAAGGTTATATCACGACGCCGTCCACAAAACAGATAAGGTTATATTACGACGCCGTCCACAAAACAGATAAGATCATATCACGTCGCCGTCCACGAAATAGATAAGGTTATATCACAACGCCGTCCACAAAACAGATAAGGTTATATCACGTCGCCGCCCATACAACAGACAAGCTTTCATAACGACAGTGTATACATATAAAGGGACGGAGACTAGCTAAGGTCATACAGGGCACCAAAACCAGACCCTATTCACGTGAAAATGTTAGGAAGCATTATTAAACAAAACTAATGGAATATAAAAGACTTCAATTTCAATACATAGCTATTTTTATGGAGTTGCAAAATTTAGCGTAGGCGGTTATCACACGCATGGCCACGTGAACGATTCCCGACAACCACGTACACCCTATTGCGATAAATGTCATTAAACAGATTGTTTTGTGCAATAAAACCTAAAATGTTTTCATGTTCCACAGTGTTTGTTTGACACAAAACAATCTTACATCCAGCGTTCATACAATAAATACGATATATGATCTATACTCGACGTCCTTACGTCATAGGCTCTCCCAAGAGAGTCTGACACGGGAGGTCAGTTCAGCCGTGTGTATTTTCGTCACATTTACGTCTACAGACTGTCTAAATTCCGTCATTGGCAAGTAGGCAATTGAATATGTACGATTTGTGCTTGTTCTTTCTATAACCTCATCTCGAACGAAAGAGATACATATGAGGACATCATAAAAAACTTTAGATACAGAACCGGAAACTAGTGATTACTATGTGATAAATCTGTATATTTACATCAAAATGTGACCGTAATTGTGATGCAATATTTTGAAGTTCCCAAAGGCCCAGGCTGATGATATTTGGCCAGAAGCATGCTGGGATGAAGGGCTATCAAGTTTGTTCAAATGAATGACCTTGACCCACTTTCAAGGTCACAGGGGTAAATGTCGTAAAATCTTCAAACGACATCTTCTCAATAACCAAACGGCCCAGAATACTGATATTGGGCCTGTAGCATGCTGGGATGAAGGGCTACCAAGTTTGGTCCTTGTCCGACATTCAAGGTCACAGGCGTCATATGTTTAAATCTTTTAATAGGTTCCTATGAATCAACCACTGATATTCTGCCTGTTGCTGTATTTTAGTCCACTTTTAAGATTACAAGTGTGAGATTAATACCAGGTGAGCGATGCAGGCTCATTGGGCCTCTTGTTTCATTATTTCTGAAGATATTGCGCTTTGAAGTGTGAACATAAACGTTCGGTACATCGGATCTGACATGTCTATTACGAATAAATGTATGAAACTGTGGTTGAGTGTTATTTGTAAGTGTCGGAGCTACACTGTAAGTTCCGACCAATGTATGTTGTCGTAAGCAGATGATTAGAGCTGCCGTACGGAGTATAGCAGACGCTAGACCGCCAGATCAGTAAAGCCAATGTAAGGGTAAGAGCATCAAAGATTGGTGTCCGGTACTAAGCTTTGTCATTACTGGGCATTAGGCGAGCACCAGACAGTAAAATCGTCGTACCAGCGATATGCTACATGGGTTAACATGTACCAGCGATTGCTTATGTGCAGTTTACGATCGACGTCATACCAACACACTGGAGCACGTTGGTGACGTCAGTGAATTACTAGTATGTTTCAAAAGTAATCAAGGACGACATAAAATCATTAATACCTAATTAATAATATCAACAAGTCAAAGATCCTATTTCACACAGTTGGGGGCAAATTGATATACTTGATTGCTTTGTATATTGATATAATGTTTAAGCTCGCGTTCATGACCTACATGACCTACTATTTTACTACCTTATTTGTTTATCCCACTTCAGTCTTATGTGTATACCCAGCTTCAGTCTTATTTGTATACCCCGCTTCAGTCTTATTTGTATACCCCTCTTCAGTCTTATTTGTTTGCCCCGCTTCAGTCTTATTTGTATTACCCGCTTCAGTCTTATTTGTATACCCCTCTTCAGTCTTATTTGTTTGCCCCGCTTCAGTCTTATTTGTATTACCCGCTTCAGTCTTATTTGTATACCCCTCTTCAGTCTTATTTGTTTACCCCGCCTCAGTCTTACTTGTATTTCCCGCTTCAGTCTTATTTGTATACCCCTCTTCAGTCTTATTTGTTTGCCCCGCTTCAGGCTTATTTGTATTACCCGCTTCAAATAGAGTCGGGGAGATGAGTATCTGAGTACATAGCAAGAAAGCATTGTGTCGTGTACCAGATTCGTGAAAACTTTTGACCGTTTTCAATTGCTGTCTCCACTCGATTATAAAACTCCTTCATGCGTTTGGGTGTAAGGAAGGGAATTTGCACACCATGGTTTTCAAATTACGTCAAACCCAATGCTTACCGAGGGTTTTGCACCAATTTGAACACCGAATGAGTGGAATATCTATATCCTTCACTGCTGGGAACGAAAATGTATTTTTGTCTCACTCAGGTCTCCAGAATTAACACATAAACAACAAAAAAGGTATCACTGTATCGGAATATTCCCGATTTCGTGACGTCACGTCATTGTTATCTCATTGTGACGTCACGCACGTCGAAACGGGGTGTAGTATAGAAATATTTCACCCCTTCTTATCTTGGATAGATATCAGATAACCCAGTCATCCTCGACTTCAGTGGATAATCCAGTCACCTTCGGCTCCATTAAATAATCCAGCTAAAATTGTCCCCAGCAGATAACCCGGTCACTTTAATCTCCAATAAACAATCAGGCCACCTCAACTCCAACAAAAGTACCTCGACAATTTCATTAAGAAAAGGATCAATGTGTCTCCCAACAACACTGGTTTGGTAGTGAGACAACAAGATTTGTATTTGTTTTTTTAACGGATTTGACTGTATCTCGGGCGCTCAGCCGCCTTTTTTGATGGCGATTTGATTTGACAAAAAATGGCAGTAACCGTGAACATTTGATTGGTATTCAAAATGTAAATACCAGGACACTACGTCACACTACACCCAGAAATCGACAAAGTGTCAACACATTTTAGTTTAAACATATTTTATTACCAAAATAGAGACAACAGGATTGGGCACAAGTTATTACAACATTATTTACGCCCTTTCCTCAAATGTATACATCAGATTTACAAAAATGGCACAACTGGGTATCAAATAATATGTATAATAGTAGCATTACAACAACAGAAACAAAAAGAGAAAGAACAACATTGAACAGTCTCACAGATTGAGTATAGAAGTATAAAATTTTGGCTGGTCTTTGTGAGTTTTTGCACGTTACGAAAAATATCATTATTTTGTTGAGAAGACAGAACCGGAATACCAGATAACAATATATCTAAGGAGGTTTCATTAACAAAATTTAGATTTTGAAACAATTCAAATCTCTGGTGTGTATAAACTGGCCATTCAAAAAAGAAATGATAGGCGTTTTCGCATGGAGATCCACAGATACAGGCGGGACTATCTACGATATTGACTCTAAATAAATCATAATTTAGGGAACTGCAGTTGTACCTTAATTAAGTGTGAATGATATTTAGTTTTCGTTCACCATAAGCAAAATAACTGGGCGATTTGGTGTCCAATTATCGAGAGATGGCTTTTTTTAATCTTCCTAAAGTGACTAATGATCTTTTAGCAGTATAGAAGTTGTTCCAAGAGCGAAGCGTAGAAGGTAGGAAGGATGAATTTGTACTAGAAAGTCTGAAATTTGGTATTACCAAATTCATTACTGTTTCTTAAAGGATATCTGACATTATGGTTTACTGTATTGGGTAGAATTTTGTTTAAGAACTGTCAACACATTCCATGAACACTCAATGGATGGCAATAGAAAGACACACTTGTCACTGCAATCAGGCCTCGTGCGAATTCAAAATGCATACAAATTACGTCCAATTTAGAAATGTTCTATCTGAGCGAATGGAAATGTCAATATCAGAAACGTTTTATTGTGGAAAACGGACACTTATGACGGTTTTATGTACAACGCAGAAATGTCGTCTCGGTCTAGAATCAATTCACCAGAGGAGAACTGTAGATAAACTGAACCTTCATCCAATTCGTTAAAGATCTCCAATGCATGTTCTACACTGTGGGATAGCCACAGATTGCTCTTCTGTCGGCCGACGGATTTGGTATTCTGTTCTACCTCCTATGAATATGGGTTTTTTTTGTCGAAAATTGTAGCAGTTCTTCGGGTATGTTCATTAACAAAGGCCGTTACTTGGCTATTCTGACACTTCAGTACTGTCTGTACACCGGGACAATTCCGCCCAGTCAAAAGTTCGTGCTTCGCCGGTAACACAAATATTGGCCGTGTTAATTTCACCCTTCACTGATATTTACTATTTATATTATGTTGGGTAACTGATATTTGCTGTAATGATGAATTCGCCTTCATTAATTTCCCGATGTAGTGTTAGAATTTAGAATGATGTTTTCATTTAGACCGACACCGTCGAGGTGTCATTGTTGACGATATACTTTTAAAGGACAGTTATGATTATTCCTTCATTTAATGAAATAAACTGTTATCTACAAATATGTTTTACAGATGCCCAAACGCGTGGAGAAGAAAGCTGGGGGTCTGTACCTCGACAACAAACGTCGGAGCAAACCAGGTATGTTTTTCCGTAAGGGCAAATATCAAGTCATGTTTCTTTAAGATACAAATATCAACATATATGTCTTCCCGCGGAGGCAAGTATTAAATGGCGGTTTTTTCTGTGGGAGTTAATTTAAAGAAATGGCTCTCTGTGGGAATAAAAATCAGGTATACTAATCCAAGGTACAATCCAGGTAAGTTTATCTGATTCCATAATAAATGAGCCTAGCGGTGCCACAAGAATGATCAGGTTGATATATTGTTGTCTGACCGAAGGCCTTGAAACCGCTATTCACCCTCTTTCCCGTGATCTGTTATTACCGGAATATCCAAACTAGTCTTTATTGGATTATATGATATAACGTCGTAGAAAATGTTAACATAAAAGAACAGGGCTTATCTCGGGAACCATGGATGGTATTTAAATAATTAAAGTCGTGTGGAAGGACGTATAACGTTACATCATGTAAGAATCACATACAGGTTGTTCTTTAAGTCACTGCGGCTATCAGCATTCATCTAGAGGTCTGTGTCTACGCTCGCTGGCTACGGTGGGGATTGTAGGCGTTAAAATCATGTAAAAATTGTTTGAAAACGAACTTGATTCTCCGTAAGTGTAACGTTTATGCTGTTTTACAAAACATATCAGACTGGATTGGGACATTTCGGTCATGTTGTGTTGCAGGCAGTTACTGGAAGCAGAGGTATGGCGGTGACAAGTCCTCGGATGAGTCGTCAGACAGCGAATCTGAGCAGGACAGTGAGTCATCTCAGTCGGTCAGCAAACCTTCTTCGTCTTCCTCTTCATCAAGCTCGTCCTCAGAGGAGGCATCCTCCCAAGACGAATCCTCAGAGGAATACTCCAATCACATTCCACAGAAACGGCAGAAGGAACTGCCCGAGGCGACTATTGATCTCTTGCCTCTTCCTGAGGAAGGCGGAAGTGAATTGAACACGGGAAACAAGCGTTTCCGGGAATCAAGGACCCACAAGAAAAACGCTGGAACCTACACAGCGTGGGCACCGCCTGCATCGTTAAATATCCCTCAGCAGGTAGCAGTATTTTACTCAAAATGCAGCATGTAAATTTATAGAGATTTGGAGAAATTAATGTTTTTGCGATTTTGCCCTATTGTTAATTTCCAAACCTGTATACCGATGTTTAGATATAACTAAGACAACAAATAGTTTAGACTATTGAACTCGTCTCAGTTTATTTATATACATCCATATATCACTATAATGTGTTTGAACTACCAATCAGATAAATATCATCCCAACAAAAATAACCAGCTATTCGGTAATTTCACATCCAGCAATGTCGATTAAGACAAATAATTGTTGTCCACATGATATGTATTCCTAACTAGCTGGAACATGACGCCGGTAACAACAAGCTCATCCTGGAGAGTCCCTTTATGAACTCAATGCCGCTATTTCTCCCTGGGGACCTGAAAGGAAACAAACCCAATGAACTGACGCCCGAAAACCAAGCCGAAATGATGGCACTTGCGCAACTGGAAGCCGAGAACGAGTCCGAAGGCGAGAGCGAGGGGGAGGAAGAGGAGGAGGAAAACGTCCCAATCAAAGACATGGAACAGCTGCAATCACTAGAAAACAGGGAACGGAAAAAGGCGGAGGAAAGGGCGAAGAAAGAGAAGATCTCGTCTGAAGTGAGCAAGTCACAGTTAGATTCAGAGGAGGTAAATAGCTCGTCAGGACAATTTTACATTAGGGAGGGCCCTATAGAAGATTAAAGTCATTTTTGGTTTTTATTTTCGTCAAAACTATGCTGTGTTTGTATGTTAAAACCATTATTTACATCTGTGTATATGGTGGCTGGGTGACTTACTCTTTCTCTATGTACGGCATATCAGTGGCATCTTACAGAGCAGATGAAATAGAGCGAATTTTCAGAGCGACATTCATGGTTCGAGTACCGCTTACATAGACGAGAGTGATCATACTAAAACGTCAGGTCCAAAAGACAAGGCGCAGAATGTGGTTGAAACACGATTATACTCGTCCCTTGTAATTATCTGGTGAAAACTACCGACAAATTACGTCAAATAAAAAACCCTGTAAAAACGGGAGCAGTCTATAATCAAATTTTGATAACATTTTACTGGTAAATTCAAATTGTCAGCTGTCAGGGAGAAGTTAACTAAACTTTATTCAGATTATATATAACACAATAATACGGTGGTTGAGACTGCTGACAATAGTGCATGGCATGTTCTTCACTACATACAGGCAGTTGTTGTCCTGTGTATTGTATATCAGTATTTCATTTACCTGTACCTAATCCAATCTATATAAAAGTATTCGTTTTACTGACTATATCCCTGCTGATTCTAATGCTGTATGATTTAGGGAGTTTGTCAGCCATGTAAAGTCTGAAAACCAAAACACCCCAGCAGAACATCTTCTTCCACTGTTTCCAGGGGTGCGGACTGATTCCCTCGGCAATTTCCGTAACTTCCTCACGGAAATGACCGAACGAATTAGTTGGGAGGCGGAGCTTGTTGTACTGATCCGATTTCACCCAGATATCATCGATCTTGAGACAACTGTATAAGCGATATTGAAATAATAGTAATGGCCCGCGATAGGTTTTCGAAAATTACGATTGTGCATATTGGATTGTGCGTTTTCAATGTCTGTGCATTTTGACAAATTTATATTTATCCCCAAGTTCATCTTTGTTTACTAATGTGTTTTATATGCAGTAGTTATTATATAGGGTATCGATGGTATACATGTACCTGTATATATAACATACTGTTATATTTCCCCGAATTCTCCTGATATTTTGTTTTGGTTTACTATTTCAGGGAGAGCTGGTGGCCTTGGCCAAAGACGGAAGTTCAAAGCACAGGGCTGGGGAAAAGTCCATGTAAAGGAATCACAAGATGACAGATACAATACATTTGAAGAAAGAATATAGATTTCACAAACTGTTGCCGAAGATCACCTTCAACTATTTATTATTGTGTAAATTGACCAAAGACTGGGTACATATTGAGTGTCACCAGTCTGTACCATTGTTGTATTATTATTATCGTCAGAGAAATCCTCCCACAACCAGCAAATCGAACATAGCAATCCTCTTCACTCTAGTGTAAATCGTAGCGGATAATAATCAGTGTTTCATTGTGTTTCTTAATTATAAAAATAACAATATCTTGAACAAAAAGGATAATAAACAGATAGATATGGAGTACATTTGTGACCTTTACATATATGAGGAAGAAATACCCGTTGATACATTGTATTGTCTAGACACAGGTTTATTGAAACGCCATGTCTTTACAGTCCACCAATACCATAGTTCTTCTATATAAACAAGTAATTAAATTGTTATCTATAAGTAAATTGATATTTGACAAGCTGCAGTCCATGCTATGCCCTCTGTGATGATGTTTCTACTCGAAAGTAAGGCTATATAGAACAAAATAATGTTATCAAGTATCTTTTTATAGGTTGATCAAGATAGATTGTTAATTCGAAAGTTAACTATGAACTATATGTGTTTTAATTCTTCAACATAAAAATTACACAGATATTTATCTAATGGACCCGATTTGATGTATATATCACTTACTTTGTACTTTTACAATCGAATCTCTATGTGTGTTCAAAGAACTGATGATACATTCCGTATATTGTAGGTCCCCAAACATGACCACATCACCACTAAAAACATTTCTAATGTGAAGTACTATGTTGTCTTGGCTTTTTAGAAAACGCTTTATCCAGTATTCAATGTATATTGACATTGTGGTTCTTTGTGTGTCTTTGGAGAAAACTCAGAAGGATGCGTTGTGGATCCCAACAGTTGTCATTTGTTTGTATAATCTCGGTCGCCCACACGTCTGATCTAGACGAACAACGCATACGGTGGTCAGTACGTGCGATGTTTCAAGCTCGTCACTTGATACCAGTGAGACAAGTAACTCAGCAGATTCTTATTTGGATACTGTTCGTGTATTAAAGGCATAAAAGAAGGAGAAATGCAATGATTATTATTTGATATCGAAACCTAACACCTTTCCATTTTCGCAAATTAAAAGTCAAATGATACGATCGTTTTTGGCTTCAGTATTGATGGAATGTCATTCTTTGATCTGTTTTTTAGTCTAAGCAACCTTCTAATTGATATCGGAGTCCAGTTCTAATTATAGATACATAATCATGTAAAAGTAGCCATCGACAGCGCTAATCTTTTACAGAAGTATTCGTGGTATTCTGCCTCGGAAAATAAATACAAGTGTTTCTGGTTTTGAAACCCGTGGTCACAAGCACCCAATCAACACCGGGTGGCAGTAAATGCTTTTAATAATGGAAGATGGATAGCATTCGCTTCATCAGAGATATGATGTTGAGTCTGCGGACGACTTGACCGAGATACCTGATGACTGAAGATTGTGATGTTTGAGTACATTGTACATAGGTAATAATAATGTGCCCATGTTGTACATAAACGCGTTTCGACCTGTTGGCCTTTTTGTATTATTTGTAAAATAAAATGTTTATGTTTGTTAATATCTTGACCATTTGTCGTTGCATTTTAACATTTCTCTATGGTGAACATGTTAACAAAGTGTTACAATGTTGCAAATAGAGGTTGAGAAGTAATGTTAAATCAGTATCTGTAGGTGCACCTAGATTCAGAAAAAGTTACATAAATATAAAAACAAACGCATAACAATATGTCAATGGTACATAAAAGGTTTTAAATAATAAGGTTACAAAACTACACAAGGATGTTTAAAAGTAGTGTAATCTTGTTGCTCATAAACTTTCTAATAAACTGACAAAGCCGAAATTCGAGCTCAAAATCGAAAAAAAGTAAGGCAAAATATGAACAAAGAACAGATTTACATATATAGACACTTAAACGATCTTACATAAAGAGTAAGATTAGGTCTTTATGTAAGATTAGGGGTTCCGGAAGAGTAAGCGTCTTCTGCTTCATCGACGATTCCCGTCAATAAAATGTAGGTCAAGTTCTAATAAAAGATCATCGGCCATCATTAACTCCAGGAAACCCCTACGAGATGACGATGGCGACCATACAACCATGGTCTGTATCAACATGCGTCAGCTGTCGTCCTACATCATAGACATTAGGACATTGGGAGTAACCAATCGAATAACAAATCATGCTAACAACGTAGCTTTTGGAAGCAGGGATGATACTGTCAAGAAAGTGAAAGTTATTTTTTGGATAATTGAAATATTCTTCCAGTTTTCTAAGTAGTTAAACATGAGGACATACTGAGTAACACGCGCTGTATCGTAAGGTCACCCAGATTTTGAAAAAATAAACACATTGATTTTTCTTTTTCTTTTGTACTGAGTTTTAACTGTTGGATTGTATAATTTTACACTTTAATTCAATCTATACTCATAATTTAAAAAAAAATAGCAATGCTTATTTCAAAAAAGGTAAGTGTGTTAGTATTAATTAGTATACATGTGGTTGTTAAGTGCATATTCGCTACAATTATACTTTATTATGGCTATATCTCAATCAGATTTATTTAGTGCTAAGCACCTAGTCATTTCATCATCATGCATCTGTATTTTTGTGTTTGTTTGTTTTTGTTCATTCGTTTTCTTGTTTTTGATAATTTTTTACTTGATTTTGTTTTAACATCAACTATCCACACTCAACTCGTATACGTCAGTCAGTCTCTTTCAAACAAACATATACTGTTACCACATTCGTACTTTCTGTGTGGACTTCTTTTACATTTCCTTTCACCCTCACTTTGTCATATCTTGGTGGTAATGTTAGTACAATCTTTTGTAATGTTAATTATATTTATCAATGGTACGGTATCACTGGGGTTACGTAGGTGCTAGAGTACCTGTGTATGTAGGGGTAAGGCGTGGAGTCTAACGTACACGGTGAATTACGTGTTGCACGTGAATTACCTGGGGTAGGGGGTTGTCATATACAGGGTGTATAGGGGTAGTGTCATTCGAGCTGTTGCAGCCAGACAGTGCGCTTGTGGTATTTACCTACGTTTCCTGGTTAGCTTGCTAATTTGGTCTTTACCGATTATGAGCGAAGAACCAGTGTTTCTCATGTGGGGGATTCGGTCATTGGAGGAGGGACTGTGGGAAATTCAGACAGGGAGGATCTCGACAGCCACAGCAGCAGACAAACGGACCGAAGTGACGAGATTCATGATAAGTATACATATACTTCTCCCTCGTTGTTTGATTTAGACGAACTGAGCTCTCATAAACAGTTTTTTGAATATCAGGACAATCGTCCGGTTACGTCTGTTAAGGGTAGATTAAAAAGTCACGTTCAGTTTTGGAGAGATATAGGTGCTTCAGAATTTATAGTAGAAATGCTTAAGTACGGTTATGTAATACCTTTCATTTCGACCCCTCCAAAAACCTTTTCTAAAAATAACATGTCTCGGGAAGAGAGGCTGAGTTTGTCACGCAAGCTATTGCAGATCTGGNCATATTTAAATACGTACAGGTATGACAAGAGATGGTCTGACCAGCTGGGTCAATCCCTACCAACAAACACTTCCTCCAGACATACCTATAAACTGCTTATCAAACTTATAACTTATAGTTTTGGAATGCTTTGTTGGTATAACATGTACACTTGTAATATGTATTTTTCCCTTACAAGACAAACTCTTTAAACATAAATAACCCGTTTAACCAATTTATATCTAGAAAAAGCCTGAGCGGTTAGGCCAATCCCTACAGACCGAGACTTCCTCCAGACATATTATTTAGCTTACACTTTCTTTCTTACCTTTTTTTAAAACTTATAATCAATGAATCAGACCAAAAAAACCACCATAATAATTGTAACACATCTTTATTTTGAAGCGTTAGGTTGAAAGTTATAAGCAATTTAAATATCGTTTGATAATAATGCGTGTTAATATCGTCACACGGGGATACAAATACAACTTATCAATAAAATACACAAATGTCCAGTTACAGTAGCAGTATCAATGGGACAACAACAACAATGGAGGTATGTCACAGTTACACACCACGGGTTGTATGGGAAGTAAAGTCATGATGACCACGAAAATCACGAACCATCTCAGTTAGGTAAAACGTGTAAGCCTGAGAGTTGATGCAAATTAGATATTGGCATACGAACAACCAACCGTTACATGTAGACGTATTTGTATCAACAAAGGAGAGAAAAAGAGGTTTTTTTTGACATTTGAACATTTAAGCTGGAACATCACAGAATATTGTTAAATTAATTGAATGGCTTTTACAGGAAAGTTTATGACTCAAATACAGCCTCGGACTGACGTGACGTGACGAGACGTTGTAAATATATCCAAGCGTGCATTACGAGCGTTCAGCGGCTGCTGTCAGCTCTCACGGTCGTTATACAGGGAAGATTTTGAATGATTTTACAGTTACATCTGTTTGATTCATGCTATCTGACTGTCTGTTGTCAATATAAACATTTTATCAGCATTGTGTGGGAGTTTATAAAGACATCGTAAAGACTGAGTTGTTTGCGTGATCCTCCCGCCTACACAAACTTAGCTCGGTACAACGGCTAGCTCGCTGCTGATTTTCTTAAACAGACATTTTGAAACGTAATTTAGACACTGCCTATTCTTCTAAAACACCACGAACTAAAGCGCAATTTAGAAAATCCCAACCATTCTAGAACATTTCAATTAGAAATCTAATGAAGAGGACACTTACTCCTCTAGAACATCTCAGATGTCAACGTATAGATCGCCAAACATTCGAGAGGATCTCAAATTGCAACTAAACGCAGTCAACACTTTCAATTCCAAAACAGCTGGAATATGAACGTAATGCATTAAGTCTCTTCCCTTCTACATCGAAATTAAATACTATTACTATTCCTCCGTTTTAACAAAAAGTTATTTAATTAATATATATGTTAGTTATGCTGGTTAGTTAGGTGTACTTAAACGTTCTATTCTGCGAAAAAAAAAATGATAACCAAAGATGTATCTGAATAGCTCAAATGTTGCCAATCAACGGTTTGTATTTACTAGTTAAAGGGACACACATATCATAAAAATAAAAAAGGAATAGAGAAAACAAAAACAAAAATTTGAAGTAAAATATTTCGTTTAGGCAACTGATTACGACCGGAGAGATGCGTGTTTAAAGCATTACTGTATAGGCGGCTAATGTTTGACAGAGCAATGACACGACAATAGCAGAAACGTCAGAGATAATCACTGTTGTAACAGACAATGCAATGATTGGACGGTTAGAATTGTTATTGCCGGTGTTACAGCTATGATCACATATCATACTGGTATCCATCAGCGTGTTGTTTTGTCAGGCGATACGTTACGCTGATGGATGACCGTCACCCCTTCCACGCGTGCTTCAGTATAGACAACGTGAGCCGTGCGTGTTACTGCTCTATATATGCAACGCATCAACCGTGCGTGGGCGCTTATCAAGGCTGTACTCGTGTATTTCTTCCAAAACATGTTAGATACTTATTTGATATCAAACATTTGATTGTTGTAAACATTTTTAAAGTGCGGCGTTGTTAAAATATGGCAATTGGGAGATACAATCGACTGACAGCAGCAGGTTTAGCATTTAATTTATAAGACAAGGCACGGAAGACTTCAACGTGAAGTGGTAAAGATAGAGCTACCCGTTAATGGTATAACGAGTTACCCGTTAATGTTATAAAGAGTTACCCGTTAATGTTAGATAGAGTTACCCGTTAATGTTATAAAGAGTTACCCGTTAATGTTAGATAGAGTTACCCGTTAATGGTATAAAGAGTTACCCGTAAGTGGTATAAAGAGATACCCGTTAATGGTATAAAGAGTTACCCGTTAGTGGTATAAAGAGTTACCCGTTAATGTTATAAAGAGTTACCCGTTAATGTTAAAAAGAGTTACCCGTTTATGATATAAAGAGTTACTCGTTAATGTTAGATAGCGTTACCCGTTAATGGTATAAAGAGTTACCCGTTAATGGTATAAAGAGT